ACCTAATAAAGTGGCCGGTGAGTGTACATATCCACAGTAATCAAAGGGAGCCTTATTGTAAAGTGTAAAACAGTATACTATTTATTAATGACTAATAATGTCATAAAAGAGCCTTTTGAATAGTGTACTGTTTTACACTTTACAATAAGGCTCCTTTATGGCATTTATTCAAGTTTATTAGTCATTAATAGTGTACCTACTGTCTTGCATTTTACAATAAGGCTCCCTTTGATAGTTGTTAATATGTATAATTTAGTAATATAGTACAATATTATTTTTTAAATATGTGTTTCCAATACATAACTGTGCTTATAAACCTAGTAATATGTACACAAACAGATTTGGCTCACTATTTGGCAAGAAACTGGACAGTTTTATCTCTTTCCCGTTCTTAATTAATCCATAATAAACATTTATTAATGATTTATAAATTGTTTACAGATGAATCAATAACCTATCTATAAACTATTCATAAGCCATCTATAAGGGGAGCCTTATTGTAAAGTGTTACCATGTAAAGTAATGTTTGGTTTTTAATCCAGTGMGTCACTATTTATGCAGCATAAAGTGAGATAAATGCAGCTTCTTTGAAGTCCTGATATGCAACTACGACCCTGAGCATCAGTGGATTTGTGGTGCTGCGCACACATTCAAACACTTGCACTTTCATGCACACCACAGCTGCTGGTTTATTTTGGGTGCGGAGCTTAGCGCTCTTTGCTGAAGGAATGTCCAACTACAACTGCAAATTGATCGTGTGTCTACCAAAGTAGGTTTGGGATTATTCGTTTCCACAGTCATTATCTGCAGTCATTGTAGCTATTTTTATTCACCTGACARCAGAATAACAGCCGAGACAGCGTTACAGAAGGCCTATTGTTGTAATTGCTGCTATGATACAAGAAAGGCGTGGATGTGTGTACATAGTTTATCCAAYGTTTTCTGCAGATAACAACCTTTACCCAAAGTGACGCTTTAAGTTTAATCACCTGATCCAGTGATTGGATTAACTTCTCAAAAACAATTTATATAAACCAGGTGTGTTGGAAGAGAGAAAGCTTTAAAACATGCAGGATTGGACACACCTTGATTATGAACATRAATGGATGCTTGGTTAAAGGTGACCGATTAGGCAGAAGGCAGTGTTTTGTTTAGCTTTTTTTCACCTACATATCCTTTTTTTGTCATGACTGTCGTTGAGCTTAGAGCTATGAAAATAATCTATACATTCTGGTGTGCGGAAATGAAGGGAATGACCTCTTTTTTTTGTAAGAGTTAGAGATAGTGGTGAACATAAAGTCACCATAATCAGCACTGCCAACTCCATATCACATTTAGAGGAAATTCTTTTGGATACACAGAGCTTCAGTACTGTGAGAGTGGGTGGTGCGCACTAAAACATGCACACGACAGCATGCCGTGATATTAATCCCAGCTGTACACCGTGAYACCCTGAGATGATTCCACTGTGAGAAATTAAGTGTGTGTAACACTAAAATGAAGTATTCAAAACAAGGCATTTAACATTTTACAACTGGATTTTATTTTATTTTATTTT